TCTCTCAAATAAATAAATAAAATCTTTAAAAAATAAATAAAAAATAAAAATAAAAATCAGTTAAATATAAAACTTTTTTGGAAGCCTGAACACATGTACACCCGTTCACAGCAGCATTATTCACAATATGTTTACCTGTGCTCCTGCCTGAAACTGTTTTCTAATGAAGGGGGGAAAAAAAAAGAAATAAACCCAGAAGAACAAAAATAATCAGAGAAGTGATGGATAATAGGAGATAAAACCGTAGTTTGGAAATTGGAAAGCACAGATAGTGACAACTGATTTAACAGCCTTTATAAAGAGCGGAATCCGAAACCTAAAAGAGATGGGAAACGAAACAAGCAGCAAAACAAGACCAGGAACCTTGGCAGAACTCCAGAAAGCCTTAGGAATTAGACTTTCGTGCCTCCAAAGTGAAAGGTACTAGAGATTGTATGAAAACAAGATAGCTTCAAAGTCTTTAAAGAAGCAGTCAGGATTCCCCTCCAGTTCCTTCTTTCACCCTGCCAACTACTCAAAGCAAGCCGGCAGAAAACTGGAGGTCTGTTCTCTGGAGAAAGTGATGATGGCAAGTTCAGGGACAAGGAACACAGGTGGGTTAAAAGCAACTCAGCAAATAGCCCAGAAATAAACCCTCACATATATGGTCAAATGATTTTCCACAAGGGTGTAAAGACCATTCAGCAGGAAAAAGACAGCCTTTTCAATAAACAGTGCTGGGAAAGCTAGATATCCTTATGTAAAAGACTCAAGTTGTACCTTTACCTCACAACATATAGAGAAAAAAAGAACATCTTAAAATGGATCAAAGATCTAACATAAAGAATTAAAACTATAAAACTCTTAGAAGAAAGCATAGGGGAAAAGTTTCAGGACACTGGATTTGGCAATGATTTCTTGGATATGATACCAAAAGTACAGGAAACAAAACAAAATCAACTGTAAAGGATACAACTGGGATGCCTGGATGGCTCAGTTTGTCGTCTGCCTTTGGCTCAGGTCATGATCCCAGGGTCCCTGGATCAAGCCACGTCTCAGCGTCAGACTCCCTGCTCAGTGCGGAGTCTGCTTCTCCCTCTCCTTCTGCCCCCTCTTGCCCTGCTCATGCTCAGTCTCTCTCAAATAAGTAAATAAATAAAATATTTTTTAAAAAAATAAAGGATACAACCGATAGAATGAAAAAGCAATCTATAGAATGGGAAAAAACATCTGCAAATCAAGTATCTGGTAAGAGGTTAATATCCAGAACATATAAAGAACTCCTGCACAAATCAACAAAAAGACTAAAAACCTAATTAAACAGTGGGCAAAGGACTTAGATATTTCTCCAAGGATTGTATACAAATGGCCACTAACACAAGAAAAGATGCTCAACATCACTAATCATTAGGGATATACAAATCAAAACCACAATGAGATACCACCTCATACTTATTAGCATGCTCCTATAAAATTAAACATAGAATTGCTATATGATCCAGCAATTCCACTGCTGGGTACATACTGAGAAGAAATGAAAGTAGGATCTTGAAGAGATTATTTGTACACCCCTGTTCATAGCAGCATTATTCACAATAGCCAAAAGGTGGAAGCCACATAAATATCCATCAATGAATGGATAAACAAAATGTGTTATATTCATACAAGGGAATATTATTCAGCCTCAAAAAGAAAAGGTCCCTTGACATATGCTACAACTGGATGAACCACCCTGAGAACATTATGCTAAGTGAAATAAGCCAGTCACAAAAAGACAAGTAACTGATGATTACACTTAATATGAGATACCTACAGTAGTCAAATTCACAGAAAGTAGAATCGTGGTTGCTAGGGGCTGTGGGAAGGAAGAACGGAGAATTATTTTTTAATAGGTATATAGAGTTTTAGTTCTGCAAGATGAGAAGAGTTCTGGAGACTGTACAACAATGTGAATGTATTTAACACTACTGACTTAAATACTTAAAAATGGTCAAGATGGTAAATTTTATGTTGTGTATTTTACCACAATAATAAAGAGATAAATACCAAGTCAGCAAACTGAACAACGTGATACTCCCATCTCCTTTCTCCCAGGTGAGCTTTCAGAAGAGCTAGCAGCCAGGGGCGCCTGGGTGGCTCAGTTGGTTAAGCAACTGCCTTCGGCTCAGGTCATGATCCTGGAGTCCCGGGATCGAGTCCTGCATCGGGCTCCCTGCTCGGC